ATATATATGACAACATGACACACCAAAGCAGATCTAATGCATATTAATTCTACAGAATAAAGGAACCAAGTTGTCAATCTAGAGATATTAAGGTTTAACAAGAAGGCAAAGGCAGAAAGCAATAAAGATCAAGCTTGGCCGAGGAAGTGCAGCATTATCAATGACCACAATGAAAAAAATGATTACTACAAAAAATTATCAGAAAAAAGAATGAAATAAAGAGAAAGCATGATGAAGAGGTAACACATATGTGTCAATGTAGGAGAAATCGCCTTCTTCCTATAGTGAAGTAACAGTTAGTCAATGCAACTTTTGAAGCTCATTAGTCATCATGGGTTGTCTTGAAACAACCGCTCTATGTTTTAAACATAAAGGTCAAGGTGCCCACACCCGACCCCCCTCACCCCACAAAGGGTGGGAGCACTTGAGGAACAGGGGTAATGTTGTTTTATAAGACTAGACAATTCACTGCCTTGAAACACGTTAAAGAGAGAGTTCCATCCCTGATACAAAAGTCACAGCACCAACAAATTTGCCAATTTTAGTTGGTCATGACCGCTAAAAAGCACACTCCCCTGTGACATTGATATCATCAATCAATGCAAGAAGTCAGATGTGATAATACTGTGCTATTTTATTTAAATAAATTTCCTACTCGTAAAATATAAGCTAAAACTATTTGGCAAGACGTGTGGCTAAACTGCTCACCGCCTAGGAACACATTAAAGACTCTAGATTCATCTCTGATACATAATTCACACCACCTAGAAGTTTCCAAGGTTTCTTAGACTTAGCATGTGGAGTGTAGAGATCAAAGAAATCCAAGTATCGTCCTTCAATGCTAGTAAACATGTGCCCCAGTACATATATATGACAGCATGAAAGACCAAAGCAGATCTAATGCATATTAATTTTATAGAAATAAGGAACCAAGTTGACAATCTAGAGATATGACACGAAGGCAAAGGCAGAAAGCAATAAAGATCAAGCTTGGCCCAGGAAGTGCAACATTATCAATGACCAGAATGAAAAAAATGATTAATACAAAAGATTATCAGAAAAAAGAATGAAATAAAGAGAGCGCATGATGAAGAGGTAACACATACGTGTCAATGTAGGAGAAATCGCCTTCTTAAGGTAGAGTTATTACATGTTTTGGGTTAACAATCAAGACCACTGTTACAATACTAGATAAAGCTCCCAGTTGGATCTGGATAAATAATGCAAAAATGCATCTGCTTTTCTTTTTGGGGGAAAAAAGAGACTGCTAGATTGCAAACGATGGCATGGAAATAGTCAAAGAGAAAAACAAAAAACGAACCTCCAACAGAATAAAAGTACTTTCAAGATGGCAATATGAAAAAACAGATCTCAAAATGGCAAAGAGAATATAGGAATGTGAAATAACTGAATTAAATTTTACCGTTACTTCTGGGTTATGAATATAGGAAGACATTGCATCAACAAGCTCTCCAAGAATGTGTGGAGGGATATTTGTGGTCAGGCCAACCTGAAAGCATAAAGAATGGAAACAATCGCATGACAAAAGGATATGTAAACTGGTATAGAAATGAATAGAAGAACAAAAGATTTAACTATTTTCTAGATCAGACCAATTACCATAATTACAGAGCAGCATTCAGAAGCAGATTCCGGATTCTAGCAGCGAGTAGAGATTGCTCTGTTTGTGAGTTGTAAAAATTTGGGACAAAATCAACCTGCTAATCATCATATGAGACGTTACTACCTCATAACTCAGAAGTAAGAAACTTATAATAACAAGTAATATAGAGACATACTGTACTTTATATCTACTCCCTCCGTGCCCCAATTTTTGTTCACTTTTGACTTTTGGAACTGTTCATCTAAGCACTTTGACTCATCAAATTCTCTCAATGTGTATGCCTAAATTTAGTCATGTGTGATCTTGTTTGATTCGTCTTAACATATAGATTATTAATATATAATTTCTATAATTTTTTAATATACAAATTACAAGATAAAATGGATTAAAGAAGTGCATTGGATGGTGTGTAAAAATGAAACTGGACAAATACTCTGGGACGGAGGGAGTATGTCTGAGAGCAGCATTGCTTCTGTATGGGCCTGAAAATGAAACAATTTATTAGCATCGTCAGAAACAAAAAGAAAATATGATTATCGGATTTAATATAGGTATAAGAATTAGAATATAAAACTTACAAAAGATAATGGGTATTGGNNAAAAGAGGCTTTACCCAAGAGTAAAAAGCATAAATATTCATTAACATTAATTTTAACAAAATATTACATCTGTTTTTGTTTCATTCCCCTCCCTCTTTTCAGGCAGCAGCCATTGTGATATCAAGATGAAGAACGTCTCGTACAGACCTGAGTGCTCTTTCAACTATTTGATTCGGTATAAATATCCTTCCAGTATCACCAGCCACCACTTTCAATCAGCCTACACTAGTATTGAAGTTATGGAACCTATCTGCTCACTTCAGCAAGTGTGGATTATGCGGATGGTGAGGTAGTGATGCAGCAGCAATGGTGGCCAATGTGATGAGAAAGCTGGGTAAGGCCTTGAGTGAGATGGTGGCATAGTGATTGGCAAACTAGGAAAGGTTGAGCTGAGAGATGGACGTGGTGTGGTTGCTTTAGATTATTTTCTCCCTTTCTTTTCTTGTTTTTCTTCTTTCTCTGAACACTAACCATTTTATAGTCAAAACCCCATTGTTGATGTCTAGTTAGACAAGCAACTCTGTACTCTATTTATTCTCAAAAAAGAATTTGGTTTACATTCCCATACTTGAAAACCTTTAATAATATATCTTCCCAGATTATATTAAGCAATGGATTTAACCAGCAATTAAAATAACCTTAATTTAAATTTAAACCTTCACGACAATAGAATTAATTATTAAAAATATTACATAAGTTCGCAAGAAAAATGAAATTCAAGCCTCAGTTCCCAAGCAACAGTTACTGAAAATGGAACAAGTGTATACTTCATTTCCTTTTTTTATTTCTCCAGACACTTTCATTTCAGATTTCAAAGTCCAGATCTTTTTTTCAAATTTCAGAACACCGTATCATATTATTCCTCCGAAATTCACAAAACGGACCCTAGGAAACCAAGTAGGCTGGCTCGAAAAGCCAATATTAAATATGCACATCTTGCAAATCTTTAAAATTAGAAATAGGATTTAAAAGAACTTTTGCAAGTTTAGTTCACCTAGAAATGATGTGAAAAACAAAGAGACAAAACATGAACTTAATACGCAAAATACTGTTGAACATAGATTACCTAAAAATAAGTTAAGTAAAAAGATTGCAATTTTGATCAAGATTCTCTCTAAAAAGATGCACATACTTTTCTTTAAACGTGGTCAGGTATGAGGAGTCCCAAAATTTCTTTTCTTTCTTCTAAAAAAATCTTTTTTTTCAAAAGCTGCAAATCTCTATCTTTTTTCGTACTCAGAAACTGCACTTTTTTTTTCAGAAACACCCAAAATGTAGCTGTGCAGGCCTGGTATAAGCAAAGTTTAAAATGCAGGAGTGTTTGCTTTAGGGTCTGAAAATCAGATTTAAAACTCCTAATATGTTCTTACAAACTACACCCTTCCTTATCACTTAGAATAAAATCAAATGCAGCTTGTTTAAAAACAAATCAGTGTCCTTTTTGTTTCTTTTTCAGATTAAAGTGCAGTTTTTTTCATCCAAGACCCAAGGGTTTCATAGATCTAAGTGCTAAGAAGCATTTTCACACCCCCACACTTAGTCTATGCACTGTCCTCAAGGCAAGTTATGATGATTGAGTTAATGAAAGCTTAAAGAAAAATGATCCTAAACTAATGCAAAGGTCATGCAAAGAAAATAAAAGAAAAAAACTAAATATAAAAGAGAACAGAGAAGTGACTAAATGATGTACTCAAGCTTAGGAAAAGGCTATGGATAAATAAGGACAGATTATAGAGGGGAATATATGATGAGATTTGAGTATAGAATGGTGAAGATAGTATGGCTGTTTGGAAAAGGTGATATGGCAGGAGAAAAGAAATATTATGGAGTGGTTTTTGATGAAGAGATGAAGTGTTTAAATGGGGGAAAGGGGATGGACGAAATTGGGAGAGAAAGAAGGGAGTTTTGTGGTGGTTTTCTGGTTGAATAAGGATAAACCAAATAATGAATAAGAGATAAACACACTCTTATTTTATTTGGGGCTATTTCTTTTCACACAATAATATTCACTACTATTATATGAAATAGACTCCTAACACACACTCAAAAGTAGCCAACTTTAGACATATTTCATTAGGAAATGGGGAGAACTAGCTTCACACTAATTCAAAGATTTTACTCAACGAGTAAAGGGAATAAAAATACAATCTGGTGCTGCATTACAAGGCC